GAATACTATGCAGGCATTAAAAAGCTGGGCCTTGCCATTGGTGACAACGTGGATAGACCTGGACGGGATGATGCTAAATGAAATAAGTAAGGTGGAGAAAGACAAATTCCAGATGATTCCACGCCTATGTGGAATAGCAAGAAACAAAACAAAGGAATGGGTGAAATGGAACCGAAACCAAACAAACCCTTAGAGTCTGATAGAATGGTGGTTATAGAGGGAGTGAGGGCTGGGAGGGGTGGGCACGGAATGGGTAGAGGGGTCAGGTAGGTGGTACAGATGGAAAGTACATCTCTGCTGGTAGGCATGGAGTGCTCCATGCAAATACCTAGGTTCCACAGTGTAGTAAACCAGTTTACTAAATTAAAAAAAAAAAAATGAAGTCTCTAATCTCATGCAGGAAAGAAAATGCACACATTTGCCTGGCTGGAAAATAGAAGTGCCATGGATATGGAATTCTCGCGAGGGACAACTCAAGGCCTGTAGCTGGAGCACGTGACTGAGCTACTCAGACAGGGACACGGAGGCCACCGCCCATCATACCCACGGGGGTGGACATGGGAAGGGATCTCTAGACCACCGGATGCCCCCCCTCTCTGCCTTGCTCGAGCGTGGCTGCTCCACACAAGAACCGGGGAAGGTTCAGCATGTGTGAAATCTGCACAAGGAACGTTCTGTCACGAGACGCCAGCCCTGACGCAAACACTTCTTTCTTCTCACTAGAAAACATGTCCAGGCCCTCCCTGGTGGCGCGGTGGGTCAAAGCACAGCACTGAGAATCTAAAGCCGCTTCCACATGAGTTCGATCCCCGCCTGCCCCGGAGGTGACCCACATGGCGCGGCAGACCTCTCCTGACCCGCCCGCTGCTCCCCTCAGCAGTGTACTTCATCGATCTGCCTGTTCTGCTCCCCACTCTGTCTCTGGTGAAGCCTCTCACCGCCCCTGAGCCTCTGGCCTGTACCCCAGTTCTGTATGCGCAAATAAATAAATCTTAAAACAAACAAACAAACAAACAAACAAAAACATGTCCAGGAGGCTTAAGCAACGCGCTCGGGAAATCGTGGCCTGACCACTTGGAGCCACAGGTCCACGCCGACGCTGGCTGAAAGTCAGCCCTCTGGGCGCAGGCGGCGAGGACGAGGGTGCCGACGGCGTGGCCGGGCCCCCGGAGGTGGCTTTGTGAAGCCAGAGCTGTGCAGTGCGCTGGCCCAGGGCGCGCGGGGTGCGACGCCGGCCTCTCGGAAACAGTGGGGAGAGAAGGCGGCGGCGTCCACTCAGTACCTCAGGTGGCAGGACAGGGGGCCGCGCTGGGGCAGCCACTTCAGACCAGGCAGCCAAGGGCCGCACAGCCCGCAGCAGAGGCCCTAGAACTTTCTTAAAGGAGAAAGCAAAGACTGGCTTCCCCATCCGCCTTGCCGGAGGGTCTGTGCGCGGCTCAGCACGAGCTTCGCTCGCTTCCCAGACGCACGCGTGTGCCGCACTGCAGCCCTGCTCTGCTGGCTGGCGAGGCTCTGGCTGCAGGGATGGGGCGGGGGGGGGATGTGCCAGGAAGAGAGCTGTCCCTCCCGGGCCCCGCCCGCCCACTCAAGGTGTCCCCAACCCTCTGGGGCTCTCCATTTCCACTCACTGCTCTCTGCCTGCTCCCCCCGCCCCCCACCTTTATTTCTGAATATTTGCAGGACACCTAGCGCAGGCTTCCCTGGGCGCTGCAGACCTCAGAGGCTCCCGAGCAACACGGCAGCTACACGCGAGTCCTTTTCACACGTGAAATCCCTCTCTGCGCGCTTATAATGAATGTGCCTTACAAGCTCATTTCTAGCACGCTGGATGATTTGCCTCGTTAGATCTTTAAGTGATCAGTTGGAGATGTATCGTGTATCGAATGCCAGGGGGTTGACGGGAGCTTCTGCTTCCACAGAGATCCAACAGCCCCATTTTTACTGCTTTTGAATGTCTAGGGCTGTCAGAAAAGAAAGGAAGGGGAGAGAAAGAGACAGAGACAGGGAGTGAGAGGCAGACAAAGAGACAGTGTGCAGGTAGCCATTTTACCACCAAGGCTGGAAAGGGGTTTGCCGTCTTCTACTGTGTCAACCCAAACTCCTCTCAGCCACCTGACTGATGAATGCTGTCTTACGTCGACATGATGACTTAGGCCACGACGTGGAGGCCCAGTGAGTGACCAGCCCAGTGCCCCTCCTCCCCTTGAGCCAGTGGGGTTTTCCTGGTCAGCCCTGAGTCCAGTCAGACCTCGGTCCAAGAGTGCGGACCCAGGGAACCTGCTTCCCACCGGCTCGGTTTGGCAGCCGGCTTCAGTCCAGGTCCCTCATGTCCTGTCTCAGAGTTGCTGGTTCTGAGTCTCTGTCTAGAAACCACAGAACTGTGGTGAGGGCGGGGTAATGTCTGACCTGTGCCCAGATGTAACCTAACTGGCCCAATGAAAGAGTTACAGCTCATACAGCTCATGCCTCGAGGCTTAGGGACCCCCCCCCCCACGCCGGCCCTAAATCAACCACTTTGTGTCTGCGCTTTTCTGTACCAACAACTGTCAGTCCATTGCTGTCTTCCTAAAAAGGAGGAAGTCAGGCAGCCTTCAACAAACTGCACATCATTTTTGGTAAATCAGGACTCACTTCTGAAAATGACTTGCTGGCGTGGCCTGAAGCTCCCTCTGAGAGGCAGGTGTGGCCGAAGCCTCAGCACCTCATCTTTCTAGCACCCGCCCTGGACACGGTCCCTTTCCTTTCCCACAACTAGGAGAGAACTCTAAACCCTGACTGTAGTTCACGACGAGGTCTTGGCTTGCACCAGTCTGCAGCCACAGCAACATGGCTTTCCATTCATTTCTAAGACCTAGTAAAATAGGAAGTTGAAATTAACCTCAGTCCTTTTAAAGTTAAAACCTCAACAAATAAACAGTGGTTTGGTGGCATGGCAACCTGCCCCCCCCACCCCCCACAATCTGTACCTGGCTTCAGATAATCTAAGATGTCTGTTTTGAGCGATTCTCAAGCACATTTGATTCTAGGTAAATAGAGGCGTGACTTTCTAGCTGTGCTTTTCTGCTGACGGAACTGGGTCTGCATACATGACCCTCCCGACGAAGTTCAACCGAGACGGCGGCCCCCAGACTCTGTAAACGCGAATTCTCCGAGTGCCCACCGCTGCCTCGCAGGAGCCGAGAACACTCCCACATCTGCTCGGCGCCACTGGAGACCCGCGCCGGCTACCGCTGGGATGTATTTCCACTTTGGAACTACCGTAGGCACGTGCGGAACTGTTACATAAAGCATCTTCTTAAGTGTTAATATAGAAGCTCTACAGCTAAGCCTACAGCAAAACCACCATTTTCCTACCTGTCAAGAACAAAATGAAAGTTCTGGTTGAAAGACAGTAACCCCTGATCGCTGCTAACTTTCTAATTTCATGGAAAAATCCCAAGGATCTACTCCAAACGGGAGGAGGGCAAAACAGCATTTTCTTCTAGCAAGGAGGAAAAAACGTGGAGAAGAAAAGTAGCTTTACATGAAAGTGTCTTGGACGCTTAGGCTTCCAAAGTTGCTCCTTTTACAAGTCAAGTACAGAAACCATATTTTGGAAGGACAGCGCACCGGCTATCGAGTTAACACATTCTTGAGAGTAGCAAGTGAGCCCCAGGGCACTCTAAAATTATTTTACTGAGATGTTGCAAAAGGAAAAAAAAAAGTCTTTTGAAAAGGAGGGAGAAGCTGGCTATGGCCCGCGTTAACCCGATACTCTGCTAAGCAGACAGCAGTCCAAAGAGCTGAAGAATGTCCGGCTGTGTCACGCCTCCAACCCAGGGCTGCTGAGAGCTAGGACAAGAATTCATCCCCCGCCACCCCACACCACCTTCTTTTCTGTCAAGGGGGTTGGGGGATCACATCTGATCCCCTCCTCCCCAAAAACCTTCAACGAAGCCCTGGTAGGGGTGACCATTCCCACTTGTCCCGCCGTGGGGCTGAATTTCCCGCCGCCATCACAGGGTCTACTGCGTTCAGGCCCGTTATCAGCAGACAAAGACACATCCCTCCATCAAGCTGGGAGTACACACGGCCAGGTAGGCAACGGCAAGGAAACAGAAGCTGCCTTTGAGGTCCCAGCTGCAGTCCTGGAGGTGACTCAAAGACCACAACACCTCAGAGGCATGATGGAGGACCTGCCTTCCAGAATCTCCCATTTAGACGAAAGGGATGGCTTCACGCCAGGCCGGCCACCTTTCCCGTGGGACGTGACCTGCGCTCTAACCGACCACACACACCTGCACTTTGGAACAGAAACTAATCAAGGTGCACATTTCAAATAGCCGTGAATGATCACGCAGCGCCAGGGCACCCGCCCCTGAGTTTGACACGCCTGAGAAAGGGGTGTGGCGGTGGCACTGACCTCCACAGCTGCGCCCTGCACAGCCCCGAGAAGACGGGCTCGGAGACTTGAAACCAGAGAGCAGACACCCGCTGGGGTCAGTGGTTCCCACCTTGTCGAGGGGTTTCGAGTACTATCTCGCGGGCACAGCGGGCTTTAACTCAGTTACTGCCATTTCACGGCGTCTCTGCAATTGCTGGCCAGCTCCGTGGGGAGGGGTGTAGCTTGCTTTCTTTCTTGATGGCAAATGTGTCCTGCGAACTCTACCTTGGGGGTGACGGGAACCAGCTCTCCAGCCCCGTCTTTATGTTTTCAGTGAGACTTTTTACATACAAGCCCGCACGTCTGAGGGCTACCGCCTGATGCCTGCGCGTTTCCCAGCCTCGTGGGCGCTGAGAAGACAGTGCAGGCGGCCTGAGTCTTCGCGTCAAGCGGCGATCCCGGCGCCGCGATGTCGTGGCCGGGTCTGGCCATCTGGGGCGCTTGTTACGCCGCGCATCTGACTCAGGGGGCTTGGGGGCCCCCGAGACCCTGTCTAACAAGGCCCCTGGCCACCTTCTGAGCTGGTGAAGTCAGAGTTGGGTTGGGTGCCCTGTGCCCGAGGGCAGGGGTTACTTACCCTGCATCTGACTCTGAGGCTGAGGGTTAAAGGCAGTGGAGTGGCTCAAGGAGGCCCGAGAGTTGGGGGTGGGGGCCGGGTGGTGTGGGCTGACCCTCATGGCCGTGCGCCGCAGCTGCTCCAATTCACTGAGACGCTCGGAAAAGGACAAGCTCCCAGGCTTGGTCTGGTCATCTAGTTTCTGCCGATGTCCTAGTGTGGGGAGGGTGGGGAGACAGGAGGGGGGTGGAAAGGTCAGCAATGTATTGTGGATCTGCTAACACGGGGCTCTCAGTCTCTCCCCTCCCTCTCCCCTGGCTCCCACAGTGGCTTGCAGGAGCTTTGCACATGCGGAAGCTCCCAGCGGGGCTGGGGGTGATGGTCCCCACAGCAGACGGGGGCTCCCTTTGTCTTCTGGGCCCCAGCACCCACCCCAGCCCTCTGCACCCATCTGCACTGGGCCGGAGGCAAGGGCGTAAGGGCGGGGTGGCGCTGGCAGTGGCGGGAGGGGCGAGATGCATTAATTGCTGGCACCGGGCCACCCGCTGTGGGCTAAGCCAGGCGGCAAGTAGGTGCCCTCTCAGGCCGGCATCGCCGCTCCCCTGCGCACCCCCACGGGCAGGTTTCAGAGGCAGCCAAGTGGGCCCTGGGGCTTAGCAGCAGGAAATGAGGTGTGGCTACAAACCCACAGCCCGGGAGTCAGGTTCCTGTTCGTGCAAGGCAGGGGCAGCCCCTCGCTCTCCCTCTCCCTGCAGCTTTTCACTCTTCCCGGAAGCTGACTCCCCCTGCAGCCCCAGAGCGGACGGACAGGAAGATGCAGTGGCCTCATGGCCACTGGCCTTCCGGGGGGCTGCATGAGCTTCCTGGGGGCTCCGGGCCCTCCGTGGGCCTGGGTTGCCTCGCTCCTCGTCAAAGTGACGGTCCCGGGTGCAGCGGGCGACAGGCCAGTTGCAGGAAGCGGCCGGGGGGCTGGGGCTCAGGATTCTGCTTCGTCCCCTCATCCTCCATCAAGACGACGAGGCTCGCACGTCCCCACAGTCCAGGGAGGAGGATGCCCTCCTGCTCCAGTCTCCCCCTTGCTTCGAAGAAAGAGTCATTGACCGATTTCACACCCCTCCCCCGCGGTCAAAGGCTCCCGCACAATCGGGGCTCTTTCAGCTGCCCTGACCCTGCTCTGGGTGAGAAAGAGCATCCCTTGATCTCTCCCCACCCCCACCACGGGGGTGGGAGAAGTACATTTTCCCCCAGCTCCCCATCGCTACCATTACAAAATTAAGTCTTATAACTGGTAGGATGGTTCCAAATCTCCCTGGCTTGCTCTCTTCCTGCTGCCAGGCCGGCTGGCACAGCTGAGCTGTCTCAGATTCCAGACCAGAAAAAGCACCCACTATACTGCAGTGATTTTATCACGAACAAGACCTGCTTGGCTCCAGGAGGAGGAAAAATACTTAAGCATAATATTTGTGCAGTTCAAATGCAACGCTCCCTCTTTTCATGTGTCACCAAGGCAAATCTGGACTCTGATTCAGCCCTCGGCGCAGCACACGGCCCGAGCACAAACAGCCTGAGTCACACAGGCCCAGCACACAGCAGCGAGCCTCTCGCTGGACGAGTATTTTAAGTACCAGCCTTGTGGGCGAAAGGCCATCAGGCCAGGGCCAGGCACACCCGCCTGTCCCTCTGCCCCGCCGGCACCCCCCTCCCCCAAAAGTCCAGAAACGTGTCTTTCTAGAACATTCTATTTGCCAGTCATGGTATCACTCGGTGACTGTGGATGGAGCTTGACCGGCCTCCTCCTTCCTCTCATCTCTGTGACTTCCTGACGGGAGACTGAAAAAAATCTCAAGTTTGCCTGACAGAAAAACAAGCACTTTTGACTCAAAAACCATTTGAAGCGTAACAGGCCTGCTCTTCCAACCACAGCCTCACGCCTGGTCTCAGGAGTCAAGGAGGGAGAAGGTCAGGACAAATGATTCTGGAAGGACCTCTGAAGGAGTGCAGACTGGCCAAGGGATGGTGCAGAGGTTCCAGCAGATTTTGGGTCTATTTCAAAACCTTACATTCCTTGGGCCAGAGGGGCATTTTTGGAGAACAGCGTGTCAAGGACAGGGGGTCATCCAGAAATGAGGTGTCCGAGCTCATTCAGAACGCGTGGCTTTGTGCTCTCTGGAGGAAGGTCGTGCTGGGGGCTGGGGGAAACGGGATGGGGGAGGGCACGGCACGTGACCTCTCCGTGCCCAGGTACAGGGGGAGATTTCAGTTTGTATCAGCCCCCTCTCAATGCCCTATGCTGCAAAAGAAAAAAAAAAAAAAGTTCGCACTAAGCTGTGAGTGAGTTCTGTACCAGCTGACACCTGCCAAAATCGCAGTCATTTAACGAGATTAAGTGGTGACTGTCTGCTTTAGCAGGAATGTTCGGGCGCAGCGCTCAGAGAAAACAATTGTTCACTCTGAGCCGTGTCCTAAGCCCTGCCGAGTCTCGGGGCTCAGTTTCGTGCCTGAAGAACAGGGGGTGGAAAGCGGTCACAGGCACCCAGCACCCCCAGCGTCTGCTCCCTGGGGGCGAAAGCTTTTTCGCTTTTGCAGGAAATCCGGACCCCTTGCTCACTGGGCTTGCAGGAGAGCTCGGCCCGGCAGGGGGGCGTGAGAAGTTTTATTGTGCGGCTGTAGCGCTTCTAAGCTCCAGCTAAGGAACGTGGGATTCTTCTTTTCTGAAGCTATCCGATTTCAGGTGCCAAAGAGCAATATTTTGCGTGAAACAGAGAAGCTTCCGATATAAACGTTCAAGCTGGGGAAAATGAATGCTTTATGTTCCCAGTTTCCTGTATCTGTGTGCAATTAAAATGCCAATTTGCCCTCTGAATTTTAAATACGGGAGTGTGGAAAATGTCCACGGTCAGACTTTCTTACTGCACACTGAGCCACGGGGAATTCAGCCCTGGCTTCTGGGGAATTATGATGCAGCCCCAAACATGGGCAACGTGGCAGCCCGGTTTTAGCGGGGGATGCACATCGGAAGTCATGGGGAACGTTGATTGGGTGGCCCAGAAAATAGTGGCCACCTCCAGATTTCACCCTCGGACATTTTATTGCACATGAAGCTGAGGTGAAGGGAACCTATGATCGTTCTATTTCCATTTTCACATTTTTGGAATAAAACATTCTGGATTCGAAATTTGGTATGTATGCCACCTCGTAAAAAAAGCCGAAAAGAAAATAAAGAATTCAAATAATTTAAATCCAGCCACCAAACTGTACTTCTTCACCCCCAAAACATATACATTCAATAATTCCCAGAGGGCTACGCTCAGAGTTCTGGTATTTGTGATCAGTTATGAGAGCGGCTTCCAGCCTTCTGCTCTAAAAAGTAGACTAAGCAGGTAGCTGTAGCTCATCAATAATTGAAGGGAGCGGCCTTTTCCCAGGCAGCGTTTTTATCTGTCAGTGCTGACTGTGGCTGCCAGTGAAATACAGGGTAAGATCTTCCGACAAAGACAACCTGGGCTGGGTGAATGACTTTCTAGCGGCCCACTGGGTCATCCAGTTTGTGCACGAGATGACTGCTTCCTTGCTAAGTGTCTCTGCAGACGCTGTGTTTTCAAAGCACAGCTCTGGCGAGTAGCTGAGAAAAAGCAGAGCGGAATGAAAATACCCAAAGACACCTACACACGCGGGCGTGTGCCCCCAGCCCGCACTGCTCTGAAGGGCGCTCGAGAGGCCTCCCGTGGGAAGGGTGAGGGTCGAGATACAGAGCTCAGGGTTTGTCTTGCCTCTACTGGCTGCTGCCTGGTGATGATGGGCAAGAAACGGATGGGTGCAGAGAGCAGCTCACCAGAAAAACAGCGTGGCCTCTAGGCTGCAGGGCCCTGAAAGTCACAGGCACTAGAACGCAGTGTTGGCACAGGCGAATGCCCGCCTGCGAGTCCCTGGCAGGAGGTGAGACAACCCGCCTCCCTGTAGACTCCCCGCCTGCTGGTTGGTTCACTGCTGGGCAGCATTATCCCGTGTCACAGGGTGGGTCTAGCATACATGCCCAACTGCAACATCCCATCTGACTCATGACCAAAGTATCTTCATGGGTCACCTCTCCAGGCTTGCTGTCCATGTATGCATGGCTAGTCTGGCCCTCCCTCGCCCACCCCCTGCCCCAGCCTCTTCCCTTAGCACTAAGCTAAGAAACCAGCCCCAGGCGAGAGGGCTTCCGCACCAAGACCCTCTGGAGAAATCAACCTTGGTCTGCCACCGAGGGGTGGGATGCAGAGCTCAGAGGCTGGTCACGGACCCAATTTCACCACCAACTGGAGGAAACAGCTCCTCTCCCCAGACACACACAGCCTGGTCTCAGTGGCCCTACACAGGCGGCCTCTGAGAACCCCACGTGGGCCACGGGCACAGGCACCGGCAGCGTGATGGTCGGTCGCAGGCACTAGGGGTGGGATCTGCACACTCCGCTCAGCTCTCTGCCCCCGGCTGGGCACAGGGCCTGAGCAGAGCGTGGCCCGCACACCCGAGCGGGCATCGGAATCACCAGCCATTCTGGCTCGACGGGTCTGGGTGGAACCAGAGAATCTGCCTATCTAATGATGGGGGGTGGGTGGGCGGTGAACCCCTCCCGTGGGCCAGAAATTAAACCACCAGGTACCCAGAGTGGGGTCCAGCGTCCCCGGCACGGAGCGATGGTCTCACATGGGGATAACTGTCGGCTTTATTTTTTCCTTAATTGTTAAACTCTTTGACGTTTATAGCTCAAGGCCGACCCTGCAGCTGGCCGGATGTGTGACCAGTTCTCCCGTCAGCGCGATGCGGCAGGGAGGCAGGCGGGGCTGACCATGGGCCATGCGGTAAGAAGCAGGATTCCCCGTGGGGGGCCGCCCCTGCTGCCGGCGAAGGCTGGGTCCACAGGGCCCATCACCCCACTCTGGAAATGCACAGTTAAGACCTCGGGGGCCCGCGGGCCACGGTGCCGGCACAGAACCCTCGTGGCCCAGGGAGGTTAGGGCTCCCCACGCTCCATTGGCTTGTCCACCCGACTTTGCCGTGGACAAGAGCAAGGCTCTTCACCACTCAGCCTCCTTATCTGGAAGGCTGGAATTAAAGGACTAAGGTGGATTACTCTGAGGGCTCTAAAAGCCCTCGCTGCAATTACATCCATGGCAGCAAGCAGCAACTCAGCGCTCACCGCAGCCGGCTCCGAGGGCCTCTGCTGGACAACG